ACAGTCATACAATAAGGATATTTGTATAATATTAGTTCATAAGTAATTCCTAACTGTTATCATTCACTTATTCTCGTCCGGATATAACAATAACAATGCCATGGATTGTATAAGTTACAACAGAAAAACTTCTAAGTAGACAAAAACTTCACTAATTCCTGGAAATAGATTTCACCCGTTTTTTTAGTACAATATTTCCACTATATTCTGACCAACTTATAAAAATAATGATTAATTTGATCATGATCAGTCTTTGTGATAGCAACAAGAAATGTCTCAAATAGGTGTGGTTATACAAAGTTTGTATTTCTTCAAGTTTGTACTCTTTCAAACGATCCAAGCCGATTTATGCTGTTCAGCTACAATAAACAATACCTGCTATCAATAAAGAATAAATTAGAAATTCTACAACCAGTCATCTGAGTACAATAATTTGTGTATAAATTTTATTTCTGAACTCTTAAACTAAAATTCGGTAAATGTGTCGCTCAATTTCGTGGATTAGTTGAAGTTGGACATTAACACGGTTGGATGCCGGCTCAGTGCTCAGTGGTCTAGTGGTTAAGTGCTCGCGCGCGGAACCAGTAGGTCCTGGGTTCGAATCTCGCAGGGGGCGAGGTCGTGGATGCGCACTACTGAGGAGTCCCACAATAGGACGAAACGGCCGTCCAGTGCTTCCAGGTTTTCCATGGTGGTCTAGCTTCAACTGACTCATGATCTTAAGCATTGAAATTACTACAACCTCCACAAAACCCATCTGATATTCACTATATATTCAAACAATATTGCACTCTCTTCAAGATTTGAATGTTCTATGTTCAAGTTTCAATGAGAATTTTCATTATCAATCACTAATGATAAAACCTCTATGTATTAGGATGGAATAAATTTTAGATATCACTTAGTTGATAATAGTGGTCTAGTTTTGTTATAATTTGTGGCCTTATGTCCTATTATTATATAAAGTAATGATATTACCAATCAGAGAATAGTGATCTATCAACCGGATCAATGACTCATAAATCTGTACGAGCAATCTAGAGTCTTGATATATATACAAACTAAGCAGATCATATCAAACCATCAAAAATAGAAAATAATATCTGTATAAGATTTAGCAAACAGTGTCTATGAATGTAGGAAACTGTAATTAATAGACTAGGTATAACTCAAGAATGGCAAATCGTATAATAATAGTCCATGGGTCAAAATAAAGCATATAATAAGCAGAACATGAATATCCAATAGTTAAGCTACTTAACAATTATACAATAAAAATATATGTATCGTACTAGTGCCCCCAAATGCCCTGGTACGGTCGAGAGTGGGAAGAGCCGCTCTCCTCTCGAAATTCTCTCATACGGACACGCGTATATAGCCTCTGCTAGCGAAGTCCTACTCACTGCCTTCTCGTGACATTACTGTTGTTCACGGAATAAGGAGGACGAAAAGCGAATGTCCGGCGCTTTAACGGGGTTGGTGGGCATGGAGAGTTCACCTAGGGGAGTTGGAAAACCCTGATTCCAAACCAATACTGAACATACACTCCAGTATCCTGAGGGAACAAATGGCGTATGGATCAATCGTTGGTCACCAGCTACCATGTGACTGCATCTCTTTACGATGTTCTACTGCCATGTGGACCAGACCTTTAAGTCGAAGGCTCCAGGTGTGACCTCCTAAGAAAACCACCTGATTCGGTTTGGGCACCCGGGCAGTATCACAGCCCTCATACATATCGAATGAGATTTGTGTGGCGCATATGTATTTGGTGTCTTTTTGTACCAATATCTATGTGTTAAAATAAAATAAAATAATATCGTACTAGTCCATAAATAAATCCCCATCAGTTACCATTTATTATTCACATTGCGATATAATAAATTTAAGCTGTTTCAATATTGAAATGTTTATTCATTGATAAGTTCATAGATTAATTAATTTTGAAAATTATTTGTACAATAATAAATATTCATATTTAATTATAAATTCAATGAGACATTTATCTCTAAAATATGTAAATAAAGGTCAAAAAATCAGATTTCATTTTATTCCAATAAACATTTACAATTATTTAGCATAGTTACAAAATGTCAATACTGTTACATTATCAATACAATAATAATAATAATAATAATGGTAACAGTAATGGTAATAATAATAATAATTATTATTATTATTATAGTAATAACAACAACAATATTAGTAATAATAACAATAATAATGTGAATCAATTAATGATAAATAATAGCATAAATATATTTTGATAAAATACGTATTCGACTTTGTTGAACATTAACCAAATAGATCGACAATTTAATCATTGAATTCATGAGTCAATTAAAGCTAGAACACTATGGAAAATCTGGAAACACTGGATAATCGTTCGATCGTAATATGGGACTAGTCAACAGTACGCATCCACGATCCATAGTGGTCTAGCTTCAATTGACTCATGAATTCAACTATTGAAATTACTATAATATCCACAAAAACCCCTTTCTGATAATAATAATAATAATAATAATAATAATAATAATAATAATAATAATATGCTCACTAATGACTGGCATCAAGAGGTATTTCCTGGAGTTCTAATAAGAAGCAGTGACCAATGGAGTTGTAAGATAGTAACTCATTGAAAATCAACAACTGTGTGATAATTAGAAGTATTTGAATTATGGTACAAACTAAGAATCCCAGAAATAACTCAATAGAATCAAGAAGTACTAGATAAGCACGAACGAATGTACAGTATTCGGAATTCCAAATCAAGCATTCAACAAATACAAAGGAATTATTAGTTCATTCAAACACTACAAACTGTCAAATAGTTAATCAGTAACACCTTTCATTGTTTCATTAATTTAATATTGTCTAAATAATAAAATGTGATTCCGTAAGGATCGATCTTGTACAGACCAAACCTCAATAATACGGATCATTATGGAATAATCGATCGAACGGAATTCATCACTTCACTGACTAAGAGAAAGAATTTGATAGACTGGACAGCACAACACTATGGAAGCTTTTGGTGGAGTTTTGTTCTCTGAGATGGATGGTTTGGTCGTGGAGCTTTCATCGTTCTTCTGAACGACATCATCAGCACAAACTTCAGATAGAAGTGAAGTGTTTGAATTTCTCCATATGTGTCTCAAAGCTTGTTCTGTGCACCTCGACGTTGATTGGTTCTCATTGACCTTAAATTTGTCGTTGTTTACTTCTTTGTTTTGGTTGTGTCTCCCATTGTTTTGATTTTTGTTCTTATGTGCTCCACGACCAAACCATCCAGCTCAGAGAACAAAACTCCACCAAAATCATCCACCTGAGCTACAAATCTTCTCCACTATGGAAGCTTCTTCAACACCACAGCGTGTCCGACAAGATTGTCAACATCATACGGAATTCCCATGATGGATTGAACTGCAAATTGTGTATGGAGGACAGCTAATAGATTAGTTCAAAGTAAAGACCGGTGTCAAGCAAGGTTGCTCAGTCTCACCCTTTCTCTTTCTCCTGGTGATCGATTGGACCATGAAAATGACAACATCTGGGGAGCATGGGATGCAGTTGGACGGTCTAAACTTCACAGATGGTCTGGCCCATCTATCGCAAACGCAGCAACAAATGCAAGAGAAGACGACCAGAGTAGCAGCAGCCTCAGCAGCAATAGGTCTCAACATACACAAAGGGAAAATCAAGATTCTCCGATACAACACAACATGCAACAATCAAACACAAGTGATGGGGAAGATTTGGAAAAGGTGAGAGGCTTTAAATATCTGTGCAGTATCATTGACGAACACGGTGGATCTGATGCAGAGGTGAAGGCACAGATCGGGAAAGCAAGAGCAACATATTTACAACTGAAGAACATGTGCAATTCAAAACAACCGTCATCAAACAATAAGGTCAGGATTTTCAATACAAATGTCAAGATAGTTCTACTGTATAGAGCGGAAACTTAGACAACTACTAAAACCATCATTCAGAAGATACAAGTGTTTAATCACAGTTGTCTACGCAAAATACTTCAGCCACAACCTACTATGGGAGCGAACAAACTAGATTCCAGTGGAGTAAGAAATCAGGAAGAAGCGCTGGAAGTGGATAGGACACACATTGAGGAAAGCACGCAACAGTGTCACAAGTCAATCTCTGACATGAAATCCTTAAGGTCAAAGGAGAAGAGGAAGACCAAAGAAATGGAGACAGACATGAGAAGAATAAACAAAAATTGGTTAGCACTAGAAAGAAGGCTCATGACAGAGTGGGTTGGAGAATGCTGGCCGGCGGCCTATGCTCTATTAGAGGTAACAGACGTAAGTAAGCAAGTAAAATAATAAAATGTTAACCATAAATGGTCAATACAATGATTATGAATATATATATATATATAAAGGTGAATTCTCTTGCCAAGATTTGCAAATCTTTTTTCTTTATAACCGTTGTAACTTTGTTTAAATAAATGACGCTGAATTAAATCTATTTAAAAAAGAAAATATTAGTAAAACAAATAAACAAACAAACATTTATTATTCACATGATGCATATTGAGAACAAAATTATGATGGATAAACATACAATGATTATAATGTATTGTAGTATGTTTTAACGATAATTTATAGATTCTATATAATTTGAAATTGTTTTCCAATACACAATCATTCTAGAATTACAACTTTTTTTAAAAATAACCTGTGACCTTGTACCCTATCAGTATATTAAGTGATGATACTACCAATCAGAGAATTGTGATTTATCGACCGGATCAATGACTCATAAATCTGTAGAAACCGTTTAGAATTTTTATTAATCTTTCTTTCTGACTAACCCTGCCTGTTAAGTTCAGAATATCAATCTTAGCCTCTGCGATATGAATCGGTATTTCAAACATTAATGGGTAAATACACAAATCAAACAGACCATATCAAATCATAAAATAGAAAAGAATACTTGAATAAGATCTAGCAAAAAGTGGCTGTGAATGTAGGACTTACTTACTTACTTACGCCTGTTACTCCTCGTGAAGGAGCATAGGCCACTCACCAGCATTCTCCATCCAACCCTGTCCTGGGCAATCCTTTCCAGCTCCGTCCAGTTGTAATTCATCCTTTTCATATCTGCTTCTATTATCCGACGCAATGTGTTCTTTGGCCTTCCTCTTTTTCGCTTCCCTTCAGGATTCCAAGTTAGGGCTTGCCTCGTGATGCAGTTTGACGATTTGCGTAATGTATGTCCTATCCATTTCCATCGTCTTTTCCTAATTTCTTCTTCAGCTGGAAGTTGGTTTGTTCTCTCCCACAGAAGGCTATTGCTGATGGTATCCGGCCAGTGGATGTTGAGTATCTTGCGTAGACAGCTATTTATAAATACTTGTACTTTCTTGATTGTGGTTGTTGTAGTTCTCCAAGTTTCAGCTCCATACAGTAGAACTGCCTTGACGTTCGTATTGAAGATTCTCACTTTGATATTGGTTGAAAGTTGTTTTGAGTTCCATATGTTCTTCAATTGTAGGAATGCGACCCTTGCTTTGCCGATCCTCGCCTTTACGTCTGCATCTGAACCTCCTTGTTCATCGATGATGCTTCCCAGGTATGTGAAGGACTCTACATCTTCCAGAGTTTCGCCATCAAGAGTGATTGGATTGCTGTTCTCCGCTTTGAATTTGAGGACCTTGGTTTTCCCTTTGTGTATGCTGAGGCCTACTGATGCAGAGACTGCTGCTACACTGGCTGTCTTCATCTGCATCTGTTCGTGTGTACGTGATAGGAGGGCTAGGTCGTCTGCGAAGTCCAAATCGTCTAATTGATTCTGAGCTGTCCATTGTATTCCGTGTTTTCCTTCAGATGTCGAGGTCTTCATAATCCAGTCGACCACCAGAAGAAAGAGGAAGGGAGAGAGTAAACAGCCTTGTCTGACTCCAGTCCTTACTTGGAATGCATCTGTCAGCTGTCCTCCATGCACTACTTTGCACTGTAGTCCGTCGTATGAGTTCCGGATAATGTTGACAATCTTCTCAGGAACTCCGTAGTGTCGAAGAAGTTTCCATAATGTCCTCCTATCTACACTGTCGAATGCCTTTTCATAATCAATGAAGTTGATGTATAGTGATGAGTTCCACTCAACTGATTGTTCGACGATGATCCGTAGTGTTGCAATTTGGTCTGTGCACGACCGATCCTTACGGAATCCAGCTTGTTGATCTCGAAGTTGGGCGTCTACTGCATCCTTCATCCGGTTCAGCAACACTCTGTTGAAGACTTTCCCTGGTATTGACAGTAGTGTAATGCCTCTGTAGTTTTCACATTTGCTCAGATCTCCTTTCTTTGGAATCTTGACGAGGTGTCCTTCTTTCCAGTCCATCGGCACTTGTTCCTCCTCCCAAATCTTTTTGAATAGAAGGTATAGCATGCTTGTGGTTGCTTCGATGTCTGATTTCAGTGCTTCAGCTGGTATGTTGTCGGGTCCTGCTGCTTTCCCGTTCTTGATTTGTCTGACGGCCATTCTAATTTCTTCCGTCGTTGGTGGGTTGACATCTATAGGAAGATCTATGTGTGCTGCTTCGATGTCCGGTGGATTCATTGGAGCCGGCCTATTCAGGAGTTCCTCGAAGTATTCCACCCATCTGTTACGCTGTTGTTGAATTTCGGTGATTGGCTTGCCTTCTTTGTCTTTGACCGGCCTCTCTGGTTTACTGTATTTCCCTGCTAGTTTCTTCGTTGTATCGTGAAGCTGTTTCATATTTCCTTCTCTAGCAGCTTTTTCTGCCGTCGTTGCTAGTTCTTCCACGTATTTCTTCTTGTCGGCTCTAATGCTCCTCTTCACTTGTTTGTTTGCTTCTATGTATTCAGCTTGTGCTTGGACTTTCTCTGCTCGTGTTCGGCTGTTGTTAATTGCTGCCTTCTTGTTCTTCCTTTCTTTGATCTTGTCCAGTGTTTCTATAGAGATCCATTCCTTATGATGGTGTTTCTTTAGGCCCAGAACCTCTTGACACGTTGAAGTTAATGCTTCCTTGATGCCTTTCCAGTTGTCCTCCATAGTAGTTTCTTCTTCATTCAGTAGATCTTGTAAGGCTTGGAACCTGTTGTTGAGAGCTATCTTGAATTCATTGAGTTTGTCAGTATCTCGAAGGAAGGCTGTATTGAACCTTTGTAGTGCTGTTTGTCCACTTGTCCAGTTCTTTTTCAGCTTCAGTTTTAAATTGGCTACAACTAGGTGGTGATCTGAAGCTACGTCAGCACCTCTCCTGGTTCTCACATCTTCCATTGTCCTTCGGAATTTTTTGTTGATGCAAATATGATCGATTTGGTTCTCTGTAGTGTGGTCCGGTGAGATCCATGTAGCCTTGTGTATACGCTTGTGTGGAAATATTGTGCCTCCTATGACCAATTTGTTGAATGCACACAAATTTGCAAATCTTTCTCCATTTTCGTTTCTTTCTCCCAGTCCATGTCGTCCCATAATATCTTCATATCCGGTGTTGTCTATTCCGACTTTGGCATTTAGATCTCCCATCAGAATAGTTAGGTCCTTTCTTGGCATTTCTCAATGATTGACTGCAGCCGCTCGTAGAACTGATCTTTAATGTCGTCGTTGCTATCATTGGTGGGTGCATAACATTGGATAATATTCATTAAGATCCCCTCCTTCTTTGTTTTGAATGATGCTTTGATGATTCTGGATCCGTGAGACTCCCATCCTACAAGTGCATTTCGTGCTACTTTGGACAGCATAAGAGCGACTCCCTGAGTGTGTGGAGCATTTCCTCTTCGTGACCGGAGTATAGCAGCATCTCTCCCGTAGCTAGCCTTTTCTGTCCAGCTTGGGTCCAGTGGGTTTCGCTGATTCCCAGTACTGCTAAGTTGTATCTCCTCATTTCCATTGCTATTTGAGTGAATGTAGGAGACTGTAATTAATAGACTGGGTATAACTCAAGAATGGCAAATCGTATAATAATAGTCTATGAGTCAAAATAAAGCATATAATAAGCGGAACATGAATATGCAATAGTTAAGCTACTTAACAATCATATAGTAAGAAAATATATGTATTGTATTCGTATTAAATGGTGGTTGGAGGTAGTCAACAGGAAACCCTGAACCCGGGTTTCGTGCTACTTGGCACTCGTCAGCAAGGTGTACCTGTAATCTTGAGGGAACTGGTGCTCCCTGGCGGATTCGACCCGTGTCACCCAGCTTCACAGTCATAGATGTTACCATTGAGCTATCCGAGCCGTGACTAACCTCCTGTAGGACTGAGATGTAATCACAATTGATTGATCACTGGGTGATGATCAATGTCATGTGTGTCAAGTCCTTATTTAGTGCAGATCGAGTCGAATCACCTAGACTAGTGGCCGCATCGCAACATGATCGATAGCATTCGATCTGCACTAAATAAGGACTTGACACACATGACATTGATCACCACCCAGTGATTAATCAATTGTGTATTGTTTTAGTCTATAAATAGTTTTCAAAAGTTACCATTCATAATTCTCGTCAGAATATAACACTTAATTTACTGTTCAGCATAGCTCAACTTGAATTCATAGTTACAGAAAAACTTCGATACTAATTACATTCATTTTCTATTGTTGCTTTTTTGAATCTTCTCCATTGCACAATCTAGTGGCTATCAGGACTCAGTAGTTAAGTAGATAACGTGATGATGGAGTGAACATTAACTCTGAGATGCAGACACACGCATCTGACGAGTCCAAAATGGAATGGAACGCGCATCCTGGCTTCTACTGGCTAGCCATCATCTAGTTTTGCTTATAATAGTTATAGCAACTCACGTGCAATTGAGTTTGTTCTTATTTAATTCGGTTAAGCCCTTTTGTTAACTTATTTAACGGACAGAGCCATCCGTACTATAACAACTTATTGTACCTTTATTATTGTTGTGCTTGTATGAAATATGTATGCTTGAACATTGCTTACCGTCTACGCATATATTCATTCTTCTAGCTTTATTATTAGCTGCTTAATTGATTCGATGATCCATTCATTTCCCTATATATATATTTAACATTACACTCTCGGTTCTCTGACTCGTTCATTTGCCTCCCGGCTTTGTGGTCTGAGTTATCTGCTAATAAAACTGTAGCCGCTGCTTCGCTTTGCCTTCTGATTTCAAACACCGTTAAGGATAATATGATAACGGTTACGAGGGTGATCAGTCAACGAAGCACAGCCACTACATACTAATCACATGCTGATGGTTAGATGAATAGAATAATTGTGAAATAGAGTGTTAAACAGTAAATTCAATTTAGTGATTATTCGAACATAACATTGAATATTAAAAATACTGAAATATTGAAAGATATAAGTTCAAATCTAGGAATGGATTAATTACTTGAATTGATCACAAAAGAATGAAGATGAAAACAGTAAGTGTACGTTTAAGTTTGGATTGTAAATCTCTTAATTCTAAACTACAATAATATTCATGCATGAATATAAATATTAACGAAGCAATGAATGCAATTTATGAGTTAATAATACCAATGAAAAAGGATTACATAATTAGTCATAATAGATAAGAGTACAAATTAATAGTAAGGTGACATGTATAGCAATGACCATAAGAATAATAACAAAAGAAACAAAATGTGTCACTGACTAGAGACATCATGTTTTCACAGTTTTTTGAAATCATGAGTCAGTTGAAGCTAGACCACCATTGAAAACCTGGAAGCACTGGACGGCCGTTTCGTCCTGGTATGGGACTCCTCAGCAGTGCGCATCCACGATCCACGATGTTTATTAATATACATGTTGCCTTACTATAGATTGGTGCTTTTACTTATCACTGGTAATTATGTAGGCTTTTTCCATCGTTATCACTGACCCACAGATCTCTCAGTTATTAAAAATAATTACATATCAATAAGAGCCAAAATTTAAAGTGTAGGTTTGAAATTAAACAAACTGTCAGGGTAGAGAGAGAGAAAAGCCGCACAAATAGCTTATGAACTTAAAGATTAGGTTTCTTTAAATTAATCTTTCCCACTTCGATTGTGCATAAAATATAACATATGGAGATGCATAGGGTTCACTATCAAAATCAAAACTATCCATTGCTGGTAACTATTTACCAGTAGTAAGCTTTAGTTTAGGTTTTCCTGCATATTGCCTCCAATCACAATGTAACAAAATTATATAATGATATTAAGTTACCTTGACTAGCGATCACGTTGTAAGTTAATCGGTACAATCTGGTCAGCACGTACAACTTAACAGCATGATATAAGCTACTAAACTCTAATTAATCGATATAAGTATCTAACGTTTACCTCCATCGATAAAAGCTACCCATTTAGTTTTCAAAGTTAATGAGCAAATGTACAATATGAGGAGGAATTCTCAACGACAATGTTCACTTTTATTAGTAAGTAATTTGAATGAACTCACAAAATCTATAAACAGTATGATTTCCATTATTCGAATATCGAGTCACTGAACTCTTCAGAATTGAGACAATTTAGGGTTGCAGATTTTCGGGATCATGTACCTGTATGTCTAATTTTTTTAGCTGTGTCTAAAAAGAACACTAATTCCATCAAAGGTTATTCAAAATGCACTCAAATTTGGAACGTTGTGTTGATTTCATTTTTAAATGGACTACACTAAATTAAAGGGGGACGCACCTAAGATTGCTTGTAAAGGTTTGTAAATTCCCGTTGTTTATGTTAAGTCCTGGAACTGATTTATTATGTCCCGATAAGCATAATGAATGGTAACTTTTGGCAGCCATTTGTGGACCGATACTATGAGTATATTTTTATCGTATAATTGTTAGATAACTAAACTATACATATTCATGTCCCTCTTATCACGAGTTTTATTTTGACCTATGAACTATTATTATACGATTTACCATTCTTGAATTATGCCTTGTCTATTAATTACTATCTCCCTCATTCACAGCCACATTTGGCTAATTTTTGTACAAATGTTGTTATCACATTTTATGGTATGGTGTGGTCTGTCTGGTTAGTATATAAACCCAGTATGCTTGAAATGAACGACTCATATTGCAGATGGTGAGATCGGTGTTCTGGACTTAAATGGCTGGGCTAGGCAGGAAGCAGGACCAATAAAGACTCTAGACTACTCGCACGGGTTTTATGCGTCATTGGTCGGATCGACAATTCACTGCCCTCTAATTGGCGGGATCATTACGTTATACGTTAACAGGGCACACAGGCCACAAGTTATAACATGGTTAGTCTCTGTCGATATGTATAAATTATGGGCCAATTGTCTCGATTTAACCTTCAGTCAAAACTTTTTAGCATATTTGGTATATGGCTAGCAGCAAGATTTAATACTTGCGTTAAATAAAAGTGTTTGAAATGAAAGGTACTGGGTTCGAATCTCAGTGTGAACGTCAATACTGG